ATACATACATACATACACATACATACATATATATAAAATTGATGATAAAATATACAAGAAAATAAAAGTTTGTGCTTGTAGTATCACAAAGTCCAAACTGATAAAGGACATGTCCGCATATTCAGATCTATGTGTAAAATGCATTTGAGCTTTCGATCTAACAGACCTACATTAGAGCATTCAGGATTCAACTGGACAGGCAGGAAAAACAACCAGTCCCATTCCAATCATTGTATGCAACAGACTTGTGCACTCCCTGGTGGTAGAAGCTCCACCCCCTGGGAACGGCAGCCTTTGGCCCAATCATAATGTCCCCCTAAGGCCTTAAACCCTGAACCCTCGGGGACTTAACTGGTAAATGGTTGAGTGGGAGAGGCTGCATGGATTTCAAATGGGATAAATACTAATGGTACAGCACTTTGCTCCGACATATCATGTTACCGTGACAAATTTCTAACATGTTGTGTACAATTGTGGGTATTTGTTTTATATTTTTTACTGCCTGATTTGAAATGGTTGACTAATAAAGCAGGTGTGTCAGACGGTCTCTGCGTGCGTTCCTCTGCTGACATGCATTTGTATGTACCATCTTAAATTGGTGTACTGCGAGTCATACAGATGGAAGCTACACTGGCATAACACAGAAAAAGGGGTGGAGCACAGTTCATATAGAAAAAACACATACGATCAGGAAGGCACACTATAGCAGTATCATACAATTTCACCACATATTAAATGGGCTTTTAGAGGGATCAGGCTTGAGCCACTGTTAATCAGATATCCCCCAGATCTTTAAGAAAAAACAAACCTCTAAAAACAAAAATAGAACAAAGGGCTGGGCCCTTTTTTGTTGCAGTTAGCGCCAGTTTCCTACTTGCCTTGATTAATATTTCTACAGCTCTTTCCCTCTCTGTCTCTGTTATGGCTGATAATCAATCCAGGCTCCACGGCAGAGAGAAGCTCTCGCCCTCCAGCTCTTTGCGAATGACCGATGTGAATCTGGCCAGTTGCTCTGGGCTGAAATGGTTTTTCCAGTCTCCCGCAACACCTAATAGAAAAACACACACACACACACACACACACACACACACACACACACACACACA